AATGAAACTTCGATGCACTTAACTGCTACATGTAGCCCACATACACCTTGAGTCCCATTCGGTCTTTGGCCAAAGCCTGACTACCTAATTAGGTACCCTTAATCTTTGAAATAACAGAATTGGCTTGGGAATATGAAGTGCTCAGTCACCGAAGAAGAAAAAAGAAATCCCAAAGCGCTGATATGGTAGAGAGGATGTGAAAGGAGGCAAGAAGGCAGCACCAGGCCACCCATTGTGTTTCTTTTAAGCTCATTTGAAAGAGGCTGTTATAAAACATAACCGAAGTGTGTTGTGGATTTGAATTTTTGCTTATAATAGAGTAAGACATTCATCTGTCTGAACTGCATGTTAATTACTTTTTCCTTATCAGAATCTTATGTTAATATGCTTAGCTGTTCCATTTTTAGCAGCATGGAGAGGCTAAAGAAAGTGGGAGATTAAATACTGCTTTGGGACTTCAAGTTACAGACACACTTACAGCACTGTCTTGCTTTTAAATCACATTTCATAAGTGCAGCCAGAAACCATTGAGTTCTTGCAATAAAACATGCGTGGGGTTTTATCAGTTAAACCCTGTGAGAAATAAAAAGCTCTTGCTCCATAACACACAGTGATACACACAGGGTACTGGAGTGCAATAGATGTTTTGTGTCTTGACAGGCTTTATGTATCAGGATATGTTTCTCCAACTGTGGTCATAATTTTATACTATGGTTTTTTTTTTCGTCCTTTGTTCAGATTCGACATTTTGTGCAAGCAAAAGGCCATCTCTCTGAAGTGCTCCTTTCATCAGGGCAATGATTTTAGGCGTGCCATCAAATCCACCTAGGGATGGTTCTAAAAAGAATAAATTGAGGGACTGCCCCAGTGAAAGCCAAAGTTTGGAACCCCGTTGAATTTATGTTGGGAGACTTGAAATGGGCCGCACATGCAAGAAAACCCTGAAACAATTTGCAGTTGAGGGAGTTTCTGGAATTTTAGCAAGTCATCATTCAGATATATTTTCAAATAGATGATTGAAAGAGCTAATCGTCCATATGTATTGTGTTCATATGAATACTTTGTAGCATTGTCCAGGTTCTTGCTCTTATGTGTATGTCTGACAAATGTGAGTCAGTGGCTCTGCTGTAGACCAAGCTAATATTACAATCCAAAAGCCCTTCGGGAAGACATATTGCAACTATTGTTGCTGCTGTGGTCATTATGCAGCAATCCCAGCCACAGCAAAACATTGCTGACAGAGACACTGCAAGTCTTCAGTGTTTCCCCTTTAGTTTTTCCCCTAAAAGGCAATGCAATGAATGGATTATCCAGATACTCTCAGCCATCATTCAGTATATGGTATGACAATTGTGTATTCCTCATGCACACCTGTTGAGACAAATGCTCTCAAAACAGCTTTGCTCTAAATTAGATTATCAGATGTTTTTAAAGCTATTGATTAAAAATCTGTATTATTTGTTCTACAGAATTCTGCATCCACCCACATGCAATCACAGTAGCATTGCCAGTATGTAAACACAATGCATACAGAGTTGGCAAAAGCATGCATAGTGTAGAAAGCAGATTATATATATCAGTGTCTGCATGTGTGTTTGTATTGTGCTGCTGGTAGGGATTTATGGCATCATGCATCCCTTCATCGATTTACATTTATTTATAGACTGGTGCAGTGCCCACTGTCACAGGCATATTGACGTCAGCAAAAGTAGACGTCACAGTGAGTGGAAGTTTTATTTCTGAGCTATGTTATCTGAACTACTGAAATAATAAATCATCACAGAGGAGTGTGACCACATCTGTGAGGTTGTTACCCCAGACATCGCTTAATTATAGGAAGATGACCCCAAATTGATCTAAATAACTTCAAACTTAACAAGGACAATATGTGATTGAAGTGCAGCTGTTCATCGTTATTTCAAGGGGTTTACAAATGTTTAGCATTATATATTTATATATATATATCCCTATTTTTAAAGGTTCAAAAATAATTGGCCCGCTGACAAACAAGAAGTTTCATGAGCAGGTGAGACCTGTTCCCTTGTTATTTCATGACAAATGCATCAATCCATCCATTTTCTGCTACTTATCTAGGTAAAGGTTGTGGTGGCAACCACATCCCAAGCCAACTGAGAGATATAATCTCTCCAGCATGTCCTGAGTCTGCCCAGGGCCGTCTCCTGATAAGATGAGCCCAGATGTGGAGGAAGTAGCAGTTCTACTCTGAGTCCCTCACGAATGGCCTAACTCCTCACCCTGACAAAGGAGACAGACATAATTTCTGAAGTTGATTCAACTTGTTGACTGTCATTTTAAATATGAGGACCAAAGAGAAGTCAGTGCAAGTGAGGAAGGCCATCATTAGGCTGAAAAACCAAGGGTAGATATATTAAAGTTCACAATCAAGTGTTTTCTTCATGAATGGGCACAAAGCATTTACAACAGCACTCAAGAAGAGGAAGGTCACATTAGACTTTGCTAAAATATCTAAAAGAGCACTCACAGTTCTGACAAAAAAACAACCTTTGGATGAATCTGAGACGAACTTGTACCAGAATGATGGGAAAAGAAACATGGAGAATGAGAAAAACAGGTAATGATCCAAAGCATATCATATGATCTTCAAACACGATGAAGGCAATATTATAGCAGGGGAATGTCTGGCTGCCAGATGGGACTGTCACAAGTCGCAGCATGAATTCTGAAGTGTACAGAGCTATACTCGCTAAAGCATTCAGCTTAATTCTGCCGTAGTGATCAAACGGTGCTTCACAGGAAATACCCAAAACCATATTGCAAAAGCAACTCCAGAATTTCTCAAGGCAAAAAAGGGGTTAAAATCAGTCACCTGATTTCAGCCAGGTAGGGCAGCTTTTCAGTTACTGAAACCCACAAACAAGCAACAACTGACGATAACAGCTGTAAACATCTGACAGAGCACATGAAGGAAAGAAACAGCATTTGGTGATATCCATGGGTTGTAGACTTTAGATAGACACTGACTGCAAAGTTTCATCCAAGTAATAAAATAATCTTTACATTTAAAATCCTGTTAGTTTGTTAATTTGAGCCTCTGAAAATGGGAGATTATGTATAAAAATGTCTGATTCTGTTAATGAAACATTTGTGGAAAACCCCTTTACACAAAGTATGCAATTCAATCACATCTTGATTGTTTAATTTAAAATCTACGTGGTGGTGTACAGAGGCAAAACTACAACAACTGTCAATGTATTTTACTGGTAATAGCTCCAACCAACAACATACTATAATAGTTAGGTCCATATATATTTGGACACTTACAAATGTTTTTTTTTTTTTACCGGTTTACTGAAACATATCCCAATTATAGTTATATAATGGATAGACATGATGAGTAGACTGTCAGCTTTCACTTAATCCACATTCAAATTGAATGAAGGATTTAGGATTTTCAGCTCCTTAACATGTGTCGCCCTCTTTTTAAAGGGAACAAAAGTAACTGGACAATTGACTCAGAGGCTATTTAATGGAAAGGTATGGGCAATTCCTTTGTTATGTCCTTATCAATTAAAAAGATAAAAGGCCTGGGGTTTATTTGAGGTGTGGTGCTGGCATTTGGAAGACTTTGGTTTAAATAGACAACATGGGGTCAAATGAGCTCCTAAGGAGGTGATCCATGCAAGTGAAACAAGCCATCCACAAGCTGTGAACAGGAAAAAACCCATCTGATAAATTGCTACAATAATAGGAGTGGCCAAATGTACAGTTTGATACACGCCGAGAAAGAAGGAAAGTACTGGTGAGCTCAGCAACACAAAAAGACCTAGTGTTCATGGAAGACAACAGTGGTTTATGATCACAGAATCATTTCACCTTCACAACAGCCAACCAAGTGAACAACACTCACCAGGAGGTAGGCTCCTGTCTAGTCTACCAATTAAGAGAAGACTGCATGAAAGTAAATACATAGAGTTCACTGCAAGGTGCAAGTCATTCATAAACCTCAAGAATATAAAGGGTAGATTGGACTTTGCTAAGATCTAAGATCTTGGAGATTAAAATTCGGACAGAAAGGCCCACAAACAAACAACAACTAAAGCTGCTGCAGTAAAGGCCTGGCAGAGCATTAAAAGTGGGGAAACCCAGAATCTGGTGAACTACATGAATTCAAGACTTCAGGCCCTTTACCTGCAGAGGGTATTTAACCAAGTATTAGAAATGAACATTTTATTTTCAGTTATTAAATTTTTCCAATTACTATTGAGCCCCTGAAATGAAGGGATTATGTGTAAAAATGCTTTAGTTCCTCACATTTTTATGTAATCTTGTTGTTCAGCCCACTGAATTAAATCTGAAAGTCTGCATCTGAGTTGTTTCATTTAAAATTCATTGTGGTAATATATTTGTAAACATCCTGTAAACAGATACGATGGAGCAGTAGAGTTACTCCAAACATTTTGTAACATGTCTTGGAGCAATCTGCCCTTATTATCATAGGTCAGATACACTCACCATGAAAAACACACTGCATGTGAGCTAACTGCACTGTTTCTTAGAACAGCAACATCCTGCAGCAGTCTGCCAACAGATTCATCACCAATGGAAATGGCTCTTTGTTAATTTGATTTGATTTCCCCAGGACAGTAGAGCCTTGCACTCATACTCTTTTTACCTCTGCTGTGTGTGTGTGTCTGTGTGCTGCCGAGTGTGCACGCCTGCCTGTCCTCCTGCATGTGTCCATACCAGACATTCTAAGAATAACTTTCAGGAATTTGATGCTTCTTGTGGAAAAACTTCCTTTGCGGTGACAATAGCTTCTCCTTATCAGGAAACTTCTTGACTTAATAACCTTTAAAACTTTCTTTCAGGGCCTAATCTTTAAAGGCTGAAGATGATCAACATTTCCACCGAATCAATATGGCTACTAGAGACAAAGAGCATTGATTACACCAAAAAAAAAAAAATCAAAGCAGAATCATTATGCTTACATGTGTCTTTTTTATATCTGTGTCCATCAGAGGCCTGATGAGGAGGTGGTGGTAGATCAGGGAGGAACCAGCTCTGTGCTGAACATCCACTATGAGAAGGAAGAACTGGAAAGTGAGTAACTTGCAGATTTGTTGAAAGTTGCCCCCATGTGTAAAATACAGGGTCAGCAAGAATCCATCTGTCACAGTTTTGTTAAGATTTATTTTAGACTGTCTGACTTGTACTGCTGCAAGTATGACTTTCAGCGGTATCAAAAAAAGCATTCTCTGTAGTTGTACATGGACCACGTAGCCTTTTAACAACAGGCCTGATAACCTATAGTCCTGAAGTGCCGCCGAGCAGGACACCCAACATAAAAAAAATCCTCAAGAGGATAAAGATCTGATCCAGTAATCCACGACAAAGAAGGAAAATGTATTGTTTGTCCTGAATCTGATGTTCAGCCAGTGGATGGACTGTCCTCTCCAGCACCCTTGTGCACACCTTCTCGGGAAGGGCCAAGGGACGTGTTCAAGTTAGAACACGTCCCTTGGCCCTCCTCCTTAAAAAGGAGGACCAGCACCAAAGTATGCCAATCCCAGACCACAGTTTCCACCTTTCACATGATCTTGCAGAGGTTGCAGCCAAGACAGCCACACAACATCCAGCTCGTATCCAGCATAAGCACCAAGCTTATGGATATGGACACCAAGTTCTGATTTTACAATGTAAACCAAATTTTACAATATAAAAGAACACTTTCCTGAAACTATCGTTATTGCTTTCCAAAAGCTGAATTTACTCCCACTTTTTAGAAAGACTCAGCAGCCACACAGAAACATGTATGTTTATTTGGGGGGATGTGGGGGTGGTGGGTTGTTATTTTGGTGCATTATCTAAATGAACTTTTATTTCAGTGGTCAACTGAACATAAAAACTCAATATCTAAAAGCTCCAATCTGCTAAAAATTGCTTAAAAGTTTATTTGCTTTTTTGCAACCTGTATATATTGGCTCTACAGTATTAAACTGTATTAAAAAACGTAATTAAACTTAATCAGCTGGATCGCTGTGGCCCACTTTTACCTCTGACCACCCCCTCTCACTGCCTCACACTGAAGGCAACTCCAGAGTGGATTATACTCCAACCACTCACCAGGAGACCGGTTCCAGAACCCAGTCTGTATCCTGAGGTGTTCCCAATTATATCTAGCTGTATATCAGTCTCACACACTCGTTTGGGTCCTTTGTCCATAATACAAGTAATCTTATATGTCTCAAGAACCAGTTTCAGCAGAATGGGATCAGACAACCAAAGCCCCCACCTTTGAGCACTTCCTGATCCACATTGCACCAGATCCGTATGGCTAACTATTTAGAGTACACTCCTAACGGGTTGCCAGCCTGTTGCAGGCCCAACTTAGTGAGACAGACATACTCATATCTAATTTAGAATCACCAATTAACCCAACTCGACTAACTGGATGTTCTCGGACTGTAGTAAGAACCCAGAGTTAGCCCACACAGACATGAGAAGAGCAGGCAAACTTCAAGCCCCAGCCAGATGGTAGTTTAAAACCCAGCACTGCTAACATTGTTGCTGTGAGGCAGCAATGCTAACAGTGTAGTGTAGTGGTTAACATATTTGCCCGCCAAGTGGAAAATGAGACCAATGTAGGATCTGGATCTCTGGCTGGAAATGAACCAATAACCTCCTGCTTGCCAAACAAATGTATGAAGTCCTGCACTACGCTATGCTGAGTTGACCAGATGCTGATCAATAACGTGTGTCCATGAGTGCCTGCATGTACGTTCACTCATATTCAAAAATAATAAAATTCATATGTCTTATGCAGAATTATTCTCTCAAAATGTTTAAAATCTATTTGTGTAAGCCTGTTGTTTATTTATTTATTCAAAAAGACTAATATTCAAATAAAGCTCCAGTATATACAGTGTCACATGCAATCAGTCTCTTGGTTATCACACCACGCTGTTTTTGAAATTGAATCCACTAATGATAATTAATGATGGCAACAGTCAAGACTAATATAGGACAGGAAGGGTGTTGTTTTCTCATTTTCCCCGTGGAGTTTAACACCTATGCCTGAGTTTAATGGCTTTCACTTTTATCCTGCATGCTGAGAAATCATAGGACACATTATTCCTTCATGTTTTTCCCCTCTCAGTGTTTGAAGATAATTCTTTTTCCAAGTGCTAAATGCTCTTAATATTGCGGGTAAACTTAAAAATACCTGTAGAGAGTAAACTAATTGCACAAAAACAGGTCACATAGTCTCTAGTCAAATCTTGTAAAATTACTGAAGCTCTCTCAAGATAACCATCAGTTTTAAATTTTGGTTGCAAATCTTCACCACACAGCAATCAATTGACAGCAGGAGCAAAAACCTCTTCATTGTGAGTCCCTTTGGTCTGACGGGAGCTCTCCTTGTTTCATGTTTATTAAATAAATTAACAATAAAAATAGAACTTATGAAGACATCTTGCATCTCGGATTAGCCTATTTGCATAATAACTACTTGTTTTGTCAATCCACTAAACTCCTTACAGTCTTTTCATCAGATAAAATGAAGTTAAACTAAAGTGCATGCCTGTGTGACATTAAAATGCTCGCATGTTTACTTGATAATCAAATATACTTTCTTTTAATTTTTCTTGTCTTTTTTTTTTTGCATTGTTTTCAGGTCACAGGACTCTGTTCGTTGGGGTCCGGATGCCCAGGCAGAGCCATCGTCACCACAAAGGTCATGGTTCCCGCCACCGCAAGAGAGACAGAAGGGCAAGCAGCATTGCAGCACAACAAAGCGAGGAGAATGAGACAACCAGTTCTAGTCATGGTAGCGCATACAGAAACAAACACATCAGAATTTTTCTTAGGCTACCCCATTACTTAAAGTGTTTTACAGTTTAGATGCATTATTTTGATTATTTTGGCTCATATAGTCATTCACCAATCAGATGGAGCCATATAGTGACTTGCTAACAGGACCAGCACCCATAGAGTAGGTAGTGGTTGTTAAACAAAGCCTATCAATATTGTGGGCACTTCACACATGCAGGACTCCAGGCTGAAATTGACAAACCACTAATTAGCTAACACAGAACAGGAACAAATCAGCATGCTGCACATGTGTACAAATGTGTGTTAAAGTATGTATGCATGTGGGCTCAGAAGCCATTAAAAGGCATGTAAGGACAGAGTAAGAAATGTTGTGTTTTGGAAAGTCTTTTGAGAACCTACAGGTCACCTCTCCTTCCTCCCACACATCACCAGACACACCATCCCAGCGGGTCCAGTTCATTCTAGGCAATGAGGAGGACGCTGAACACGTGTCCCATGAGCTGTTCACCGAGCTGGATGAGATCTGTGTCAAGGATGGCAAGGATGCTGAGTGGAAAGAAACAGCCAGGTCAGGATATCTCCTCAGGGAGCTGTTGGTAACAGTGCTTAGCAATAAGGTTTCTGACAGCCTGGCAGCTCTACAGCGGCACTAATATGAAGAGGGAAGTCTACAAGAGGTAGTTACACTTAAAGCTCGCTGAAGGTTAGCTCAAGGTGAAAAGATCAAAAGCCGTGAGTCAAACAAATATGGCTTATTTGTGCTGTTCAAATGCCAAATCTAAGTTTCTCATGCTCACTTTTTTTTATTTGGTGGTGTGAACCACTGTACAAGAGATTTAAAGCACATCTATGCGTGGGAAAGAAAAACAGCTTTCTATTTAAAGTTGAATACTCCCTCTACACTTAACCTGAAGAAGAAGTGTATTCATCATACTTCAAGGAACTCCTTTAAAAAGACCCGACGTGAGTCAAGCAGTCCCTATTATAGTCACGGCTGGGAAAGCATAGCATCTGTTCTCAAGGGCCTTTGGTTTCAGTTCTTACCTAAAGGTTTTAAGTCTCTGCATCAGCAACTCCTGCTGGACAAACCAGCAACTTGTGTGGTAGCTCACTGTCCTCCGTGTGTGAGAGGTCAACTCTAAATATTTACAAGATATTTTGGAAACAGAAAATCAGTATAATATCATGTAGCAGTGGAGCAGTAACAAGGAAATTGGAAGCAAAAAAAACAACAATGACACAACGTGACAGATTTTCCGTTTTGTGTCTTTTTTGACAAATTAATAACTCAAGAATAAAACTGGAGCTCCAACAACAGAAAGATTAAAGCCCAAACAACACCCATAGAATTAAATCATTAAAAATAAATAAATAAATAAAACATTTATCATATGATTTTTATTTTAACTAATACTTTATTTAAATATTCCTAATGTCTGCAATCATAAAACTAAAAAACAGTTATAAAATAAATTACACTGTACACTGAACCCACATTATCCACACATATAGAGCGACACTATATGTGCTCTAACAGCCCTAAACAGCCCAAATACATTGAAGTTACATATCTGCAACTAGAATGAGACCAAAAAGCCAGAGGAGACTGAACAATGGGCTAACGGTGCCCTTTACAATCAAGCTCTGATTGCAGAGCTACTGCAGGAGTCAGGTTAATGCTTTGTTCAAAAGCACTAATCAGGTGAGGAACATTTTATCTGCTGGGAGACAATGTACAGCAAATGTACCAAGTGGGGACTTTTGTAGAAAACTGACAGTAGATATACTTAGGAATAAATTATACTATTGACCTTCTAAAAAAATGCAAAAATGAAGAAGTGATAGAAATGCTGTTTGTTTTTTTAATGGTAGCTGAAAAGAAGCTTTTGCTAAAGCAAACATTTCTTTACATGTTATTCTTTATCCACAGTAACAGCTTGTTTTGGCTCAGCTGTTGTCATTTAAATGACACTTTGTCAATTTATAAGATTGAAATTATGTTCTTAAGTTTTATAAAAATAATTAAGCCTTTGTATGGTAGCCTTTGTAATCAATATAGCGAATTAAACAGAAGGAAAAAATCATAATAATAATACTTCACATGTGCTCCAACTTGCAAGTTGCTAAATAACATCTCTTTATGCTGCAGATGGCTGAAGTTTGAGGAAGATGTGGAGGACGGTGGAGAAAGGTGGAGCAAGCCTTACGTTGCTACGCTTTCCCTCCACAGTCTATTTGAGCTGCGCAGTTGCATTATCAACGGCAGCGTATTGCTTGACATGCATGCTGACTGCATTGAAGAGATCGCAGGTGAGAACACTTGTATGTTAATATGACTCTACCCGAGTGCTCTATATAAGAAGGCAGGTTCAGACTCATTATTAAGGGCGAAACAAAACTTATTATTGGTCTTTATCATGTGCTGTTTTCTCATGTTTGGCATATAATTGTGGTCAGAAGTTTATATACACCCATTATGGGCATGAAGGTCATGGTCATTCTGAACTTAATTATTTCTTTGAAGTGTTCTTTTTCCAGGATGGAATCATTTCACTGCATACATCTTTAATGACTTTAAAAAACAAGGATTGCTGTTTGTTTGTTTTGTTTTGTATTTTCTCTAATTTACCGGGTCAAAAGTGTACACACACACACACACACACACACACACACACACACACACACACACACACACACACACACAGCATTTGTTTCAATGCTCCCTAGTCAGTTGAATCTTGACCAGTTGCTTTTGGTAGCCATTACAGTTTTTTACAGCAGCTAGGACACATTTCCCAATACTTAGTTCATTTCACATTCAAAATGCACTACAACTACCAAAACACTTTATTCAGGTCTCAAATAAACTCATTCTTCCAGAACACTAGCAAAGGTTGACAGCCGACAAACACACTTTGTCATCCACAAAACAATGACCTGAAAAACACTAACAACATGTAGCATTACACAGTGTTTTCCTGTGTAAAACAAGGACACATCTCTGTTTATAATTTCAATATATGTTACTGGAATGAATCAGACATCATGCAGAATTCGTTAATATTTGTTTATGTATTTCTATTTTTTTGCACTAAGTAATCCCAAAATACAAGAATTTGTATACACACCATCCACTGATACACATACAATAGTAATGCTATTCTACTCGGTCTTCTCCATTTGGCCACAGGTTCTCATCCACATCACATCTTATGTCATCTAGGGCAATACACCTAGGAAAGAATCTTCTGGCATGCAATTGAAAAATTGAAGGAGTAACACCTGTGTAGATGTTCATCTACAATGAGAATAAGCTGTGGCTGGTTAAACTGCATTTTTAGATTTAAAATATGTTTCAATAAAATATTGCTGTTGGATTTTGCTGTCTTTTCAAGTTTTGCATTGTGTTATTGTTTTGGCCATAAGTTTAACAGTTTTGAAAACAGTATGTAAGCACATGCAAAATGTCCTGTCCGTACAAAGATTTTTGGCAGTTGTTGTGTCTGAGTGAGAAGATAATTCATGAAATTTGAGAGATGTAGTCATTGAATGCATTTTGAGCCAAAACAATGATAACTGGTCCTCAGTTTAGCCCACATAGACTTCTGTTGTGCTCACTGTGTGAGGACTTTTGCAAACGTGACCTAAGTATTGGGAAATGTGTCCTAGCGTCTGTGAAAAACTGTAATGTTAGCTGCTTTATCCATTCCAAAACCAGTTTTGACATGTGTTTGGGATCAGTGCTTTGTTGGCACACCCAGTTGTCAGTTGTGTTTACCATCTAGCTGTTGGAGGTAGTCCTCCTTTTTCATTAACCCATCTGCTTTGTGTAACATATCAGCTGCAGAGCATGATGCTACTACCACCTTGCTTGACAGCTGGTACAGTGTTCTTATGTTTGAAAACCTCACCTTTATTCCTCCAAACATACCTCTTATCATTTTGGCCCAATAGCTCAATCTTTGTCTCCTCTGACAATAAAACTTTTCTCCAGAAAACTTTTATGTGGAAAGCTAGAAATTCAGTCAAGCTTTAAGGTGTTGATTTTGGAGCAGAAGCTTCTTTCTAGGTTGGCACACTCTCAGCCCACAGAGAGTAAAACTCACTTCACTGTAGTAAGTGACGCTGGTCTTCCGGTAGTTTCTGGTTCATGGCAGGCTTGAACCTCGGTGATTCCTGAGTTATATGTGAACATGAAATTTCCTCTCATCTGAGGGTGACGGTTTGGGTGGTAACAAAAGAGGTGACATGTCAAAATAACTTGTATTTACAATTGTTTGAACCGATGATCTTGGAATCTCTAGTTGTTCAAAAATGGCTCCAAGAGATCTTCCCAACTTTTCCATTGGTCTGCATATTGGCCTGTCTAATAGTCCCATTGTCAGTAATCCATCGATCCATCCGCTACCGCTTATCCTTTTCAGGGTCGCGGGGGGCGCTGGAGCTGATCCCAGCTGTCATAGGGCGAGAGGCGGGGTACGCTCTGGACAGGTCGCCAATTTGTCACAGAGCCAACACACAGGGACAGACAACCATTCGCACTCACATTCATACCTAGTGGCAATTTTAGATTATCCAATTCGCCTATCCCCACAAGCTGCATGTCTTTGGACGGTGGGAGGAAGCCGGAGTACCCGGAGGGAACCCACGCAAACACGGGGAGAACATGCAAACTCCACACAGAAAGACCCCGGCCTGATGGTGGAATTGAACTCAGGACCTTCTTGCTGTGCGGCAACGGTGCTAACCACCGTGCCACCGTGCTGCACAAATTCAACCTTATACCATTTATTTGTCTGTTTTTCTCCACCTTGCTCTATAGAGCCAGTTCTTTAGCTCATGTTACTTTTGTTACTATGAATCAGACTGTAGCCTTGTCAGAATGCCTGCTAGTTGTAATCCAAGAAGAACAACATACACGAATGACTATATTCTTTTGGACTCAGAAACACAGTTTGCTTCTCTTATGGTAACTTTGCAGAACAACCAGCCTAGTTCTAGGCAGCACATCAAGCTGCAGTTTGTGTAATAAACCTGAGCCGAAATTGTATTGCTGTCAGCACCTGTACACCTGGATTTTACTTGGAAATTGCAGCTGAAACTGTGATTGCATAAAATCTACTTTGATCCAAACTCATTTGCATGCAAGTAATAAACTTTGCACCTTCATTTATTTATGCATACTCATGACTGGATGAGGTAATTATGCACATCATGCAAACAAACACACACACACACACACACACACACAAACAAAAATAACAAGAACAAGAACAAGAACAAGTGAGTAAGCAAGGCCTGATAAAGTGCAGAAGCGGTAAGAAAGATGGAGAGATGCTGATTATTCTGCAGTTTCATGTGGACAGATATTGACATAACCCTTTAAACTTTCACCTTCTGTTCAACAGTGAAAGATGTCTGACCAGATTGGCTTGTATTTGTTTTAAAAGCAGCGGTTACATAAAATTAACATGTGTTCCATAAATCAAGGAGGGTATAATGTTGAGACATTATGATTTGATGTGGAACACCAACGCTCTGATCATACTAAACTCTGGGTTTATGAGTTTGACCTGCGTTGCAGACATGGTACTGGACCACCAGGAGGCATCCAATGAGCTGGATGACAGCGTAAGAGTGAGGGTTCGTGAGGCGCTGCTCAAGAGACACCACCACCAAAACGAGAAGAAGAAGAATTTGATTCCCATTGTACGCTCCATCACAGAGGGAGCACGCAAACAGTCAGAACCTCATCTGATTGGTGAGTTTGATGGTGGATGTCACACACAAGCGCATCCTGACTTGTGCTCTCTACATCAAAGTAGAAGTCATGTCTTGATATAGGGCTGAAATTGGCTTTTTTTTTGGGGGGGGGTACTTTGGCTGTGTGCTGAGGGGCCTTGATTGGGTTTTTAATTGTAATATTAATTAAGATTTTCAGTTCAAATTATAGTCAGGGTAAAAATACATAAAAATACATGAAAAGTAAGTGTTGATTTGATTTGATTAAAGTAAGTCAGACTGCATAACAAACATATATTTCTTTCAGGGCGATATATTTTTTTATTCATCGTTGTTAGTTTGGACTTGGCACAACAACTATCATATTTACTGACTCTGAATCATTTGTCTCCTTCCATCACACATGCACATAAACACCCTGCAGGGTCAGCCACGTCTCCCCAGCCTATTCAATCCAACGAAGCAGCTAAGAACGGTGCTGGACAGGACAGCACTCAGGTGGACCTGAGTAAGGTAAACAAGCAGGCTGTAGAGCAAATGTTGCATTTCTTTAGATGAATGCTATTAAAAAAAAACCCAGAATACTTGTAAATATGATTATGCTAAACAACAACAACAGATCTTATTTTGTGTGTGTGTGTGTGGGGGGGGGCTCTCAGCTCTGAGAATGCACTGGAGACCTGAACTGGGATGCTGTAAATATAATGAGAAACAATTGCGTCACATAGTGCCCCCTACAGTGGAACAACACACAGCAGTAGCCCATCAATAAAGGTACTTTTAGAGCCTCCCAAAGGGTTGCCATAGCAGATGCCCTTTCTTACTCAACACTCCCATTTATCCAGGCTTGTAACCCCCTGAGGTTGGGTTTTTGTGTTTCCTCTTAGTATCAAACAAGAGGTTTTTCCACATGTAAGGCAAATGTGATAACCACAACAACACAGAGCCACTAACAGCAGTCCACCAACGAAAGACTAAAAAGCAGTGCCATAAAGCCACAGACAAAGGTTTCCATTGAGCACTGGACCTGCTCGGTTCTCTACAGTTAAGTTAGTTATTACAGTAAATCAATAAACAACACGCTAAAGAGAAGAAAATTAAGGACATTAATTCTGGGCAGACAAGTTACAATAGCATAGAAAAGAAAACTGGAGACAAATGAAGAATAGATATACAAAAATTCACAAACAACGTTTTTAAATACCGTAACAAAAATCCCAATCGACTTACATCATAACATCAACATTGAGATCAAATCCTGTACTGATATTTGCATCTGTCCTGTCTGAACAGGTGGATCTGCACTTCATGAAAAAGATCCCAGAGGGTGCAGAGGCTTCCAATGTGCTGGTGGGAGAGCTGGACTTCCTGGAGAGGCCTATTGTAGCCTTTGTGCGCCTTTCCCCTGCTGTGCTGCTCACTGGACTTACAGAGGTGCCCATACCGACCAGGTAGACAGCTGCAGCTCCCTGCTTTAATCATAAAATCAAATTCAATATTCCAGAAACTCTTTATAAACTGAAATTCATCTGCTGACAAATATTAGGTTCCTCTTCATACTTCTTGGCCCTGATGGGAAGGCTCAGCAATACCATGAAATCGGTCGCTCCATGGCAACCATCATGACAGATGAGGTAAGCACTCTGTCAATCAAAATAAATCTGAGCATCTCTCTTGCAGGTATAAAGAGGCTGAGTTTTCTATTTCTTTTGCTTTTTTCTGTACCAGATTTTTCATGATGTAGCATATAAGGCAAAGGACAGAAGTGACCTTCTAGCGGGAATAGATGAGTTTCTAGACCAAGTAACTGTCCTGCCACCAGGAGAGTGGGACCCCTCAATCCGTATTGAACCCCCAAAAAAGGTCCCATCTCAGGTACATAGCTGCAGTCAATTAAAGATATTTGTACAACGAAAATTTATAACTGTTGGTTCAGTGTATCATAATTTTGCATTCCTTGATATCTGCAGGAGAAAAGGAAGATGCCTGGAGTCCCTAATGGCACCGTCTGTCAGGAAGAGGAAGAGCTGCATGCTGAACACCACGGGCCAGAACTGCAGAGAACTGGAAGGTTTGCCCAGACTTCTTGCTTCTGTAATGGTGACTGTAGAAGGCATATTCAGACAGCAGGGTGTTTTCCCCCAGAAATGTAACCCTTAAAACAGCTTGCAGTTAGGTGCCTTAATGGATGTGTTGCAGCCTGGGCCTGAGTTTAGCACTCTTCACTGTGTTCCCATTTGCTCCGGTCACGAAATCTAAATTTGGATTTGTGAGGAACAGACAAGTGACAATTACCAGTGCGAATGTGACAGCCTGAAGGAAACTGAAGACGAAAACATTTTACTTTATTCTTTAAAGAAAAGGTTGTCTTTGAAATCTTCTTTCTCAACAAGATTCTTTTTATCTTTTCTATTTACATCCCACACACCACAATTTTTAGTGAGGTACCAAAAAAAGTTCCATTTTATTGAAATAAAGGTTAGTACAATCACATCTTGTCCATTTTGTCTACAACAATCATTTACAGGCAACTTCATTTTAACCCATTTTTTTCTTCTGATCATCATGTTATCAATTGTCCAAATTAATCTTAAAGTAATAACTTGAATTTAGAAAATAGTAGCAACTATCATGCCAAGAGTTAAATTAGATGACTATAATGTCCATTTGTGTGTTAGCTGTGTAGCTTGAGCCAGGAGCTGTTTATCTCAGTTTAGCATAAAAGACTGAACCTTTGAGAGGTAGATGAATTAAATTTTGTTGTTCTCATCCAGCAGCAAATGTGCACATTTTCCACAGTGCAATCTGAATTCTACACAGCATAAAAAGTCACTTGGATGCTGAACACGTGACGATCACAGGCTCCCTCCTTAGAACTGCGGACTGTTTGGAGGAGGTCATGACAGAGAGTGTTGCGCTACAAGTCTAAACTGCTGCTAAACTACTGATAAACTTGCCCTGCTGAGCCACTCAAGGCCTTTATGGTGGCTCCAGATCTTTTGCAGGTGTCTTTCCTCAGCACTTTTCCTATTTACATTAACACAATAACTTGAAATTATTGTGATTTTATTGTGAGGCTGTTTCAAATGTTTGATACAGCACCGATTAAAGTTGAAGAGTGCCAAGATGCTGCTATGGCTCATAGGTTGTAGGTCAATTAGGTGACTTATTACAGCAAGGAGCTGTGATCTGTCACACACCACAATCCCAGTGAACCTTTCTACAACACCACAGAGCCACTAGAAGCAGCCATTAGACTTGAGGACTATAAAGCAGTGCCACAAAGGCGTTACACTTGCTAGTTTCACTATAGTTAAGCTAGTTATTTCAGTAATTCAATAAGTACCATGCTGCTTCCTTACTCACTAGGGCCTGGTACAGCAGGTAGTTACACGTTTGATTTGGCTGATTTTTTCCCCTTGTTTTTTTTTTTTCCATTTTTTTACACTGAATGTCGTTCCTGACCCAACCCCAGATCAAACAGGGGACATGTTGCTCGTTAGGCAAATGTTAGTACCAGTTTCCCCCCTTTCTTTAAGTGTCCCAAGTCCATGTACTGTACTATTCTTTGCCTTGACGTGTTTTTGCAAATACAAAAAAAAACAACAAAAAAATAGAACTGTTTCTGAAAATATTCCATGCTCATCATGTTCATGCAGTGAGGATATGTCAGGTTAAACTGTCTTTGTTTACTGAACTAGTCCTCTTCTTTCCATATGTGCTGCGATCAGGTTATTTGGTGGTCTGATCCTGGACATCAAGAGGAAAGCTCCATTCTATTGGAGTGATTTTAAGGATGGTGTCAGCCTCCAGTGTGTGGCCTCCTTCCTCTTCCTCTACTGTGCCTGCATGTCTCCTGTCATCACCTTCGGGGGACTGCTGGGGGAGGCGACAGAAGGACGTATTGTAAGAGCTTAAACACACTCAAGGACACATTCACAGTACTATATTGTAGTTATATACTGCCGTGTCTTTAGGCCATTACTACCACAGCATCAAGACTGAATGTTACTGAAGATTGTGTAGCAAAGGTTACAGGCTCTCTGCATTTGCAACATATGTTGTAGAGCGCCATTGAGTCCTTATTTGGTGCGTCTATGACTGGAGTAGCCTACTCGCTGTTTGCTGGTCAGCCTCTCACCATCCTGGGCAGCACAGGTCCTGTTCTTGTGTTTGAGAAAATCCTCTTCAAATTCTGCAAGTATGTACAGGGCTCACAACAGCTTCCTTGTGACATCATTATCGCCAAAATGACATTTGTCCCTGTTCCCCGCTGTGCTCTAACTTTAGTCTCTTCTCTCATTTCCTCTCCTCTCCTCTTTCAGGGACTACGACCTTTCTTATCTGTCGCTGCGGACTTGCATAGGCTTATGGACAGCCCTGCTGTGTTTACTGTTGGTTGCCACAGATGCTAGTTCCCTGGTGTGCTACATCACTCGTTTCACAGAGGAGGCCTTTGCTGCCCTCATCTGCCTCATCTTCATCTATGAGGCTTTGGAAAAACTGTTTCACCTGGGAGAACTCTACCCTTACAACGCATACAGTGATTTGGACAAGCTCACCCTGGCATAGTCAGTAACTCAATTTCCTCGAGAGTTTACCAGAATGTTTACGCTGTAGCTTTTTCACTGCTCGTTCTTTTTTTGCTGATCACTTTCCTGCTTTCCTCATCTTATGCTTGACTTGTTCTGACTACTGAAGAAAAAAAACACATTTTTGTGAGCTGATGTATAGTTCAATTCATTGTGTGTGTTATGCGTCTTTGTCTGTAGCTGTAAGTGTGCAGAACCTGATAATCCAAGTAATGAAACCGTGGAAATTTGGACTGAGAGAAACATCACAGCCTCTGCTGTACCCTGGACCAACCTGACTGTCAAGGTAACGTAACTATGTGGGAACACACATCTAATGAAGTCTAATGTTGATATAACTTTCATAATAGCACTTGCCACATTTGTTCCAGCTTGTTTACTTTCCCAACTTGTTAACATTCAACTAACCCCCTCACCTTCCAATGTGCAGCCGACCTCACTTAAGGAGCTTTGCAAACACTGACAAGGAGACTTCAATTAAACTCTCGCTGCTGTGTGTTTAGCTAAGCACACCAAAGGCCATTTTGTTTGTCTGTTTTATGTCTTTTTTATGCTCTGTAGACTCTTCCAGTCCGCCACATAATTCTGATAAAACAGTTTTATGTGATGCATGAATGAATGTGATGCATTTATTGTAATAGGATCTCTGTTCATCTCTGTAGGAGTGTATCAGTCTGCACGGCCACTTTGTTGGGACAGCATGCGGTCACCATGGCCCCTACACCCCAGATGTCCTTTTCTGGTCTGCTATCTTGTTCTTTTCAACGTTCTTCATGTCTGCCTTTCTCAAACAATTCAAGACTAGCCGTTATTTCCCCACTAAGGTAACTAACCACATCATGAGTAATAGATTAGTAGGCACTGGCAATAGCATTAAAACTTATTGCATTGTGTTAATGATCATTAATCTCGTAGCCTTGTTGTCTCTTCTGCTCAGGTGCGGTCTATGATCAGTGATTTTGCAGTGTTTCTTACCATTGTTTTTATGGTCCTGATTGACTTTGCCATTGGAGTACCCTCCCAAAAGCTGAATGTGCCAAGCAAATTCCAGGTATAGAGGAACTGTATAACTTGCACTTCATGATATAAAACCATTGAGGATGATTAGCTGCATTATTGCATTATATTTCTGGTAATTACCTCTTCAGCCTACCAGAGATGATCGTGGTTGGTTCATCAATCCAATAGGGCGAAATCCATGGTGGACAGCTTTGGTTGCATCGATTCCTGCTCTTCTCTGTACGATCCTCATCTTCATGGACCAACAAATAACTGCCGTTATAGTCAACCGCAAAGAGCACAAACTACTGGTAAGACAACATTTTTTTAATCATATTCAAATAAGTCCTGAAGCTTTTCTGATTTTCGGACTTCTGCGATACAGAAAGGCTGTGGGTACCATCTGGACCTGCTGATGGTGGGAGTGATGCTGGCCGTATGCTCCATCATGGGCTTGCCCTGGTTCGTGGCAGCCACTGTCTTGTCGATCTCTCATGTCAATAGTCTGAAGCTGGAGTCAGAGAGCTCAGCTCCAGGGGAGCAGCCTCGCTTCCTGGGGATCAGAGAACAGAGACTTACTGGCCTGGTCATCTTCCTGCTCATGGGCTTATCTGTATTCATGACTAGAGCCCTCAAGGTTAGTCAGAGAAGCTATATAATGGTGGCCCCCTCTGGTGTATTACACATGAATCAGATGTGCAATATACCTACTATGACAAGAAATATCTGCTGTAAAAAAAAAAATATAATACTTATAATGGAAGTTAATGGATAAATTAGCTGATAAAAATATAATGTCTGTTTGTTTTTTCAGCTCATTCCTATGCCAGTGTTGTATGGTGTTTTCCTCTACATGGGAGTGTCTTCATTAAAAGGCATCCAGGTGAGGAACTATGCAGCATGATTGTGCAGTTGACACAAAAACAAAATATACTGTGATTATGATTATTTAGAAAGCTCTCCTTCCTTTAATCTGGTGGCAGCTGAAGGCGCCTTGTCCTGGTGTGATTGAATACGCCAGCCATTGCACAGATTGCCGATCCACCACACGACTAACACAGAGAGACAGGCAACCACTCATTCTCCAATCCTTACATGCAGCCAAATTAAATAACCAATTGATCTAACAAGCATGTTTTTGGACTGTGGAAGGAAACATGCACAGACACAGTAGAACATGCAGACTCCACGCAGACTGGTCTTTGCCAGTGAGGAGGTTCAAACCAGGAAAAAGTGGTTACTCCGGCCCCTTCTCGATGCATGCTGCTGTATATATTAACACTCTGATGAACACATCAGGAGCTCCTCGGGGTTCGGTATCTTGCCCAAGGATATTTTGGCATGCAGACTGTTTTTGGAGAATGTCTGAAACAATACTACACTATGAATAACGTACTTCCAAAAAAACCCCCCCCCCAAAAAACACCAACTCTGACTCAAAACTGCAAAATAATTAAAACTGTTCTCTTGTCCTCTCTTGCTGGATGCCCCCTGCTGCACCCTTGCCTTTTCTAATTATAATGCTGTTGCAATTAATCATGGCCTGACAGTTTATTGTCTGAACTAACCAGATGCATTCATTCTTTTTCCAAATTCACCATCTGTCTCTTTGCTTTGCTCTCATTAATTTGTTCTCTCCTTTGCCAACTTCCATAACACCTGCTTTCATCTTTACCACTTCTCAGTTCTTTGACCGTCTGAAACTGTTTGGTATGCCGGCGAAGCACCAGCCAGATTTCATCTACCTGCGACACGTTCCCTTGAGAAAGGTGCATCTGTTTACTGTCACCCAGCTCACGTGTCTGGTGCTTCTCTGGGTCATTAAGACATCACCGGCGGCCATAGTCTTCCCCATGATGGTGAGTTGACCACAACCATTCCGTCTTACCTAGTGGAGCCGTATCTTCTGTTTAAACACCGAGCCTGTTCGTCTGCCTTTTTCTGCAGGTGTTGGCTCTGGTTTTCATCCGCAAGGTGTTGGACTTGTGTTTCTCCAAGCGAGAGCTAAGCTATCTAGATGACCTAATGCCCGAGTGGAAGAAAAAAAATCTTGACGATGCCTCGAAAAAGATTGAAGAGGTAGTCTAAAGGGAATTTTAAAATGTAAAGTTCACCTTTTGTGAATGCATAAATGTGCACATATTGAGCACGTACGTCATGGATTTGTCTCGCAGGAGTCACAGGTTATGCTCAGCACAAATAAAGAAGATTCGACTACAGTTCAGATTCCCATGGAGAAGACCAAGCCTGCTCAGGCTCCAAAAGCCCACGATCCCAGGTGAGCACACATGTTCAAATTTAAATAATAGACATCATATTTGGAGTGGTAAGATTATACAGGGAGTGCAGAATTATTAGGCAAATGAGTATTTTGTCCACATCATCCTCTTCATGCATGTTGTCTTACTCCAAGCTGTATAGGCTGGAAAGCCTACTACCAATTAAGCATATTAGGTGATGTGCATCTCTGTAATGAGAAGGGGTGTGGTCTAATGACATCAACACCCTATATCAGGTGTGCATAATTATTAGGCAACGTCCTTTCCTTTGGCAAAATGGGTCAAAAGAAGGACTTGACAGGCTCAGAAAAGTCAAAAATAGTGAGATATCTTGCAGAGGGATGCAGCAGTCTCAAAATTGCAAAGCTTCTGAAGCGTGATCATCGAACAATCAAGCGTTTCATTCAAAATAGTCACCAGGGTCGCAAGAAGCGTGTGGAAAAACCAAGGCGCAAAATAACTGCCCGTGAACTGAGAAAAGGTAAGAAAGGCTGAAAGACGACCACCACTGAACAAGACACACAAGCTGAAACGTCAAGACCGGGCCAAGAAATATCTCAAGACTGGTTTTTCTAAGGTTTTATGGACTGGTGAAATGAGAGTGAGTCTTGATGGGCCAGATGGATGGGCCCGTGGCTGGATTGATAAAGGGCAGAGAGCTCCAGTCCGACTCAGACGCCAGCAAGGTGGAGGTGGAGTACTGGTTTGGGCTGGTATCATCAAAGATGAGCTTGTGGGGCCTTTTCGGGTTGAGGATGGAGTCAAGCTCAACTCCCAGTCCTACTGCCAGTTTCTGGAAGACACCTTCTTCAAGCAGTGGTACAGGAAGAAGTCTGCATCCTTCAAGAAAAACATGATTTTCATGCAGGACAATGCTCCATCACACGCGTCCAAGTACTCCACAGCGTGGCTGGCAAGAAAGGGTATAAAAGAAGAAAAACTAATGACATGGCCTCCTTGTTCACCTGATCTGAACCCCATTGAGAACCTGTGGTCCATCATCAAATGTGAGATTTACAAGGAGGGAAAACAGTACACCTCTCTGAACAGTGTCTGGGAGGCTGTGGTTGCTGCTGCACGCAATGTTGATGGTGAACAGATCAAAACACTGACAGAATCCATGGATGGCAGGCTTTTGAGTGTCCTTGCAAAGAAAGGTGGCTATATTGGTCGCTGATTTGTTTTTGTTTTGTTTTTGAATGTCAGAAATGTATATTTGTGAATGTGGAGATGTTATATTGGTTTCACTGGTAAAAAATAAATAATTGTAATGGGTATATTTGTTTTTTGTTAAGTTGCCTAATAATTATGCACAGTAATAGTCACCTGCACACACAGATATCCCCCTAAAATAGCTAAAACTAAAAACTACTTCCAAAAACATTCAGCTTTGATATTAATGAGTTTTTTGGGTTCATTGAGAACATGGTTGTTGTTCAATAATAAAATTATTCCTCAAAAATACAACTTGCCTAATAATTCTGCACTCCCTGTATACAAGGATTTTTGTCACTTTCCCAGCAACCTACATGCATGCTTGTATTTATATACTAGTGTGTGTTGTTCTGTTGTGCCACCTGTGAGTGAGACCTCTCCCTAAACCCTCCGGTTCCTTTCTGTGCTCCTCAGGTGTGACCCCTCTGATATTAACATATCTGATGAAATGTCTAAAACCACCGTGTGGAAATCTCTCAACACCAATCAAAAGGACACTCGTCCTTTGACTGCTAAAAAGGCAAGGCCACACCCCTTATTTTTCCTCACCCCTACAATCTGGAAACATTCCTGCTTTATATTGTGCTCATTTGTATCTTTAGTATTTTAACATTATTTTGTTATTCAAAACTCAGGGTTGCTGCCTTGTGCTCTGTGCTGTCTTAACTCAGCCTTTGCATGTTTCGCCCTGCAGGTTTGAAGAGATTGCATTCATCGATGAGTAAAGGATGTCCAGATTCATGACAGACTCGACTGCATCTCTTGACTGGACAGGATTTGGCTGCTTCAACCATCAGCCACTTCAGTGCTCAGAAAAAGGAGTCTTTAGTTTCTACCAGCTACCCATAAAACACATGTTTCTCAGACACACAGGGAAAGTCAAGGGTGTAGAACATCCATCCATTCACTTCTACCTTTGTGAAGTTTGTAAATATATAAAATATATATACCGTACTACATATATATTGTTTAATTTCCCTAAATTCAAATCCCTACCTACTTATAGCTCTGGCCCTCACCACTCCTATATCTTAAACACCTTGGCTTGGAGTTTTGTTTTTATTAGGCACATATAATGTCAACCTTCTTACACCATCTGAACAATCTTAAACAATATTTAGCTGTGAGATTCCAATACTACTGAACGTCCAACTTTTAACTGAATTGTGGAGAGCAGTGATATGGAGTTGTACTCTAGAGGCAAGTCCTGGAGCTTCTCCACTGACAGTCACAGAACTGTTTTCTGTTTCAAACCATGCAGTCATATAAAGGTAACTGGGACGTACCATTTCAATTAACCATACTGGTTCATCTCCAAAAGATGGCGGTTTTGTTTCAGCTTGTATGAGTCAAATTTAGTTTGCTTTTAACTAAAAGAACAGTACCATGAAAACAGTGAGAGTGAAACAAAATAGTAAAACCGTTAACCTGTACCGCTCCACAGAGCTGAGGCAAAGCGCAGATTTAAGTAATAATTTATTGCTGGTTATCAAAAAACCTTGTGTCAACAAAAAAGTAAGCAAAAACAATGATATGTTTAATATGGTTGATTATTTGGTAGACTCATCAGAAAACGGGAAATGAAAGCACCATCAACAATGTGCTTTTTGGGGTGTAATGTTTCCTTTATTGGGTGTTCATCTTTAAATTAATGATTGTGTAAGAATCAAGTCTGTTATACCGACAGCACCCTGTGTGTTTGTTTTCTGCTTGTATTCTTATTTATTTACCTCAAACAAGGCCACGAATACTCATGTAAGGCATTTTGGATAACATCAGGTAGGAAAAACCAGAAACGTGTGCGTATCAAAAAATGAGGGAGGCTTCAGGGTTTTATTTTAAGCAATAATTTACCCACGCTCCACCCAAAACTAATCATACTGCAGCTTTTTATTCTTCAGGAACCTTTCTTACTAGTGCAACTTTGTATATTCATCTTGAGCTGGACTCTGAAGGCCTTCCTCGCACTTTCATTACATGTTACACTATAAAACAGTTACAGTTAATAAAGTGAAGCTATTTGAGCAATGTCAACTTCATCTGAGACCTTTCAGTCTGCATAAACAAGGTTGCACTGTAATGTGGGCCCTTGTCTTTAATAACCTTCATTAGACCAACAGTCTCTGCTATAGTTGCACTTTCTGTAGATAAAGAAACGTTGATATATTTTATTTTAAGAAACTCTATTAAGCAACCAAATTATTTTAATAAAATGTTACAGTTATTTATTATTATTATTTATTTTTAGATACAAAGTCACAAAATATCCTCTTTGCTTTCTGTATTCTAAGGCTGAAGAATGCAGCACATAACTAATGCTTTGGTGAATGTCTTGCCTCCATACAGTCGTGGGAGACACCTGTTATGTAATATAATGCGGTCGACAATAGAACTGGCCCAATTGGTAATGAAGAGTTTCAGGTCAAAGTTATACAGCCATTTCTGCCTGAAGTTCGCTAACATTAGCCATCATGAATTAACTTAGTAATATTTCACAAATAACAATATCCTGTTAACATCAGTTCATTTTCAGGGATACTTCCTGAACAGTCTTCATCTGTTCTGTTTAAGTGAATTTGATCCAAAGTGCACAAGTAATGTGTCACTGTAAAGGTGACACCTCTGTGACACGTGTGAAAGTTTGTGGAGTGTGACTCATGTCATGCACTTCTGCTTTGATTCTGTCAGATATCTGAATGTGAGTTGAGTGCAGCCGTAGCTAAATTCATTAATAAAATATTATTGTGTAATCATATCAGTGAGTGCAAACAGTAGCTGATGCTATGTAAAACTAAGGGTAAAAAAAAGAGGATTTGACCAAAATGTAAAATCACTGTTAAAAATCCAGTGTTTAAGGATTTTAAATGTGCTGTTAAAAAAAAGAATCTACAAGTTATTTTGGTGACTTTAAACCTGTTGATGTCTATGTGAATGTACGGTAAATATAAAGTAAAATGCCTTCATTGCACCGTAGAATGATTGCATAAACATGTAGCCAGGAGATTCATTCATTAGGTGGATGTGACTATAAATATATGTGCAATACCAGTACATGCGTGCCTGTCATAGACTACATAACCATTTCTTGTTGTGCTGCCTTTTCCTGCACCATTGACCTTACATCCGCTTTTGTTTCTGGGTCCAGTTTTGGATTGTTGTACTGAATCGTTATTTATATTTTCCTGCCCACTTCATTTTTACATGTAGGTAAAGGTGACATCTGTGCACTTTGTCCTTGTAATAAGTATTATGTGAAACCGATGTCTATTTCAAGGACGAGGTGACAGTAGAGGAAAAATGTAGTTGTAGAGGGGGGAGAGGAAGTTTCCACTGAGAAGAAGAACACTTGTACCGCGGTAACATTAATCCTACAGTTTCGGAGCCATAGAACGAGCGATGCCTTGTCTCTTGTATTAGTCTTGAAAGAAATAATTCTGTTTTATATGTATATCAAATTAAATTTTTGACAATGGAAATGGAAAATAAATAACTACAGGTAAAACTGAAGAAAAATGTGTTTTATGTCATTTTGCCACAATTCTTGAATACACACCACCAAAATGAGTATTTACATGTTTGACCATGCATATATTTCAGTGTATTTAATGACTTTGTCCACTAGGAGGCAGCAGAGTAACAATCCTTTCTAGCAGGTTCTGACCATAAGGACTTTGCCCTTCTAATTTTAAGCTAAATTCAAATCTGTTGCATCATTGTAGAAAACATAAACACTAATCCCACCCAAAACATCCTGAGAAATACTCAGAAGGTTTTTCAAACTTCCTCCCTTGTGTAGCACCCTTCCCCCGTGTGAGAATACAGTGTGCACATCTGGAGGTGATCTTGACTGCAAAGGAGTTGCCTGTGGGAAGGAGTATGCGGTTAAAGATGCACTGCGCTCTGTATGCATACATCTAAGTGTCCGTATGTGCCTCAAGGGTGTCATGTGATCTGACTCCCAAATGCTCCTGATTACAAGCAGCTGGCATCGCCTCAGCCACTGAGAGAAGCTTCTGGCTGTGACATGAGGTTGAGGGAAAGAGCTGGACAGGATACTTAAGTTTATTTTAAATGAATCATCAGCTTTCTTAGTTCCCCACAGTGCTTCAAATGTGGTCAGCTAGTCAAACTATACATGACATTTACCCACCATGGAATTTCAGTTCATCTATTTGTGTATTCCATTTATTATTATCATCTCACTGGTGCAATTTAATTAGAGGTGAAAAACTAGTTTAGCCTCAATGCCCTTTCTTCAAGACTTAAGCATTCATATAAAGTCTTTGTGTCTGGATGAAGGTCCTTGTTTTTGTGAACGAGAACTGAAGAAACATCCTGAATGTAACATTTGGCTTTTCGGCCTCGACAGAAAAGCCAAATGTTGAATAGTGAGCTTCATTTGAAATGAATACATCTCAGTATAATGCAGTAATTTGTCAATGTGTGTGTTTACTGCTGTGTTTTGTTGTGCATTATTCATTTAATCATAAACATGCCCACTTTCTTACTTAGATGTAAAAACTATTCGAATCCCATGCCCGTACAGTAACTTAAGAAGAAACCAGCAGAAAGAATGACAATCATCTTGGTTTCTTCTAACCTAATAACAGCGAACACTCAGCTGCTAACTTCTAACATGCACGGATTGTTGGAGGTAACTTTTCCTTGGTACAAACTGTGAAATACATGTTCACAGACAAAACTGTTGGTCTTTGAGCTTGTAGCTTGAATAAGATCTGACCAAAGCGATGGTGTGTTTGGATTTTCTTCTTCTTTCTCTCTCTTTCTCTTTGAATCACTGAGCTGTTGTCCCCTTTTCTCACTGAACAGAGCTGGCTCTCAGCTTGTCCCTCCTCTCCATCAATCTCTGTCATAAATCTGTCACACGGGGAGAAAGGGAACTGCTGAATACAGATTTGTCAGCAATTAATCTAACCTCTATTACCAGACTTGGATATTGTGTCCTCTATGCCAGAGAACAATAAGCCACTCCAACACTGAGCGCTGTGCTGCATGTGTGTGCGGTGTGCAGTCTTGTGTCTGTCTGTTTGTGCGAGGCAGGGTAAGAAAACAGCAGTTAGCTTCCTTCAGTTAGCTGGTATTTTTAAACACTATGAATAAAATTCCTCTTTTGCCCTTGTTTTCAATTTCTAGACTGACTCAACTCAGGAGGGTTGTTAAAAAACTTTACACCTTTACACTTCTTTCAAGAAAAAACAGAACAATGAATGCCTCTGTCAGAAAGTTAGAGCCTCTAACTGTAATCTTCCAATTGAAATTACTGGAAGAGCAATGTTATTTAACCTTAAAGAGACACTACTCTGAGCATAAGGCTAGCTAACTGACACCTTGCAGAAATAGAGAATCCGGCTTTAGCCGTGTTTTCGGGGCCTAAATCTGTGTATACAGTCACATATGTTCTTTATGGGGTTGAAGCACTAGTTTCCCACAAATGAAAATTACATTTTGAGGTGAAGACATTGTTGGGGTGGGTCTATTAGAGTTTAAGTAAGTGTACTTGGCATAAATTCAAGTTAATTAATAAATCCTCTGAATACTTAAGCAGGCCCATTGCACTCATTATCATATTCCCAGATGAGAAAGTCAGGCAGTTAAAAACTGGACACATTAAAAATGTTACCAGCAGAATAATTATACGCAGCTCTGTATATATAATATAACACATGCTTGTCTCCAGATTTTTGTGTGAAACTAAATACATTTATAACTCCAATATGTTTTATAGACTTTGTGTAGTACATGGGTGTAACTACTACCATCTAGCTATCTATCTATAGATACAACATCTCTGTACACCATGATAGTGGGTTTGAAATCAAACAAGATGTGATTGAATTGTGAATTTTAGGTTTTGCATATCATGAATTGTTTAGGAATCACAGCTATTTTTATAGAGACATGTATTTTCAGAGGACAAACTAAGGTAATTTTAACTATAAAACTATATTTTTCTAGAACTGTTGAGGCTCTTTCAGCAAAGTCTAATCTGGTCGTCTCATTCTTTGGTGTATGCACGGGTTTGCACCTTGTTGTGAATCCCCTGTATTTGCATCCATGGATCATAATTGTAGACTTTAACAATGATACACCCAACTCCATACGACTGTTTTTAGACTTGGTTAGATGTGATTTTTTTTCATCATCATCGTGTAGTTGTCTTCTGCGGTCTTTCTGAGTTTTAGGAGTTTTGGAGCTGGCTAGTGTTTTCAATTTATTTTCTTAAAGAATACACCAAATAATTTATTTGGCCACTCCACTTTCTCCACTTTATTTTGGTTTTTAGCCTTGGGTGTCCCCCCCTTATTTGCTCTGGCATCTCTTTGGATCTCATATTGACACTTCCAGTAAAAAGATGCCAAACACTTGGAATTAACCCAGATCTTCTATCTACTTGATTTGCCATGAAATAACAAGGAAACAGGGTCTCTGAAAATTAGGGTATGAAAGTAAAGGGGTTCTTGCCGTACATGTCGCACCTTTGAATTAAAGCTGAAAACCTGTACTTTCATCTCAAACATTTCCTTCATAGAGTTTATCTGTTTATCATGAAGCCTACTGTGTCCTGGTCTGTACTCATGTCAGCAGAGTGATGTAGGTGCAAATGACTAAAATAAACTACAGGCCAGGCCATGTTCGTTTTAACAGAACATCTTACCAGTTTTAAAAGGCTCATTGATGTGTTTTACTAATATCTAACAGTAAGCTATATAATCTTTGGCTATGCAGGCAGCATTTATCAGTAGGATGAATTTGCTGTTGGAATTTGACCTTTTTTTGTGGGATTTGTCAGAATCAAGAACGTTCAGATTCAAGCACTGTACTGAACTGACATTGACGTCTTCTGTGTGGGAGACCACAATACACACATTTCCTGTTCTTTTTCCAAAGATTTCCTGTTCCTGTTTTGCCCTTTCTCTCTCTCATTGTCTCATAATTCACCCTTCAAATCATTTGCGAACATGGGTATGCTTGCAGGGGTTAAGCGTTTTGAAGGTACACATTTAACAACAAGTGGGCCAATTATGGCTGCGCATTTTTTTCACCCTTAACTCCATAAACTCCTACAGCACTTTCATCCACACAAGCACAAACACACGCACATACACAAACACAATTATAATTGCTGGGACAGTTCACTGGAGCAGTGGGTCAGTGCTCAGCTGCTAGAGACAGAATTAGAGCGGCAAACAGCTGAGCTTCTCTAGGGTGCTATCATGTGACCTATCCCATCCACAGGAGCAAAGCAGCTCTGGGTTAGAGTTACCAATAATTTCCAGAATGGCTGTTACGCGTGTGAGTGGAAATCTGTCTTCCTGTGTACATTGTGCACCCCAGTTATATGGGGATTTTTCTCTCCTTTGTTTCCAAAAGTAAATGTTTTCTCAAACTTGCTGATAGCCATTGTGTTCAGCTGTCATTAGCACACTTTTTGCTCTTTGTCCCTCCTGCTTTTCCTCATAGCCTGCTTTAGGTTGTGTGGCTAAATGTAGATGTTTTCTGGATCTAATGAGAGGCAGCATCTTGGGTTTGTTACACTACGGTGAAAATGTATCAAACAGTTTCTGTAATGAAAAGAACTGCACAACTGGAATTTTTTAGGTGTATTGTTTCCTGACCTGTAAAATAACAGCATGGCCTTTTTTCAGTGTCTGTCAGCAATGCAGGTAAGGGGGAAAGAGCTGAGTGCCGCACTAGCAATTACTGCTCTGAGTCAGGCAGTGAAAGGCCTGTATCTCCACTCCTATCACTAGCAGGATTTTAACCCAATACTCTGGTATTGCCACACCATGCCTTTCTACAGTTGCTATAAGGAGAAGGAAAGGTGATACTTAAAACAAGATCCTTGTAATAAGCAGTAATTAATAAGTCATAAGCTGCTTATAAGTGAGTCTGAGCTCTTCAAAGCATGATTTGGACCAGGACACTCAGACCTAATTTAATCTTTTTTTAAGGGATTTTCTTTGTATTAATTTGTATATTGTCTTTTCTTAACATTATGTACTGCTCCAGAGGACAGAGCCATGAAAATGATTTCTAACTGTATAGGAATGTGTTTATTAACCCTAGTAAAACATTGTTACTTTAACTCAAGCTACTGCGTAAAAGCATAGCTGAGTGTTAATAGGGGCATACCTAGTTAATACATGTGTTGTAAAGTATTTATTATTTATATTACTGCTATTTATTAACATTTTGACTATGGATACAAAAGAAAGTTTGTGTTCAAAAACTGTTTTCCACAGTCTCTTTATGCATTGGAATAAAGTAAAATAAGAAAAATGAAATAAAAGTTTCTTAATAAAAAGAATGAGAAGAACAAAACATCTCAGTCCTGATCTCATGCTTTGGGGTCCACCATTTATGATTAATAGCATTCCTGAGCATCACGGACAGAAAGGGGAAAATCGTAAATGTAGAAGTTCACTGTACAACAAATTAAACTGAATTTAGCTGTATAAGCCCATAAATACAACCCATAG